CACGGCATGTTTCTATCGTAGATGCACCCTGTGATCGTGCTTGATGTGCAACCTGTACCTGACTCATGGGGTTGGGATCTGCGTGTCTTTCTGCTGGATCATCTTACAGGGATTGCAGCTGACGACCAAAGAGCAGGAAATTGTGCGCGGCTTCATCGACACGGCGTTTATGATGTCCGAGGGTAAGCTAGCATGACCTCATCACCCTTGCGTGGTATCACATTGCCTTATCGCATGCGTGTTCGTTTTTCAGGTGGCAAGCCAGACCTGAGTGGCTTCCAACTAGACTGGCTGCGCCTGCAAGCCAGTCTGTCGGGCAAGGCGACGCGCCACCCGTTGATCAAGCACGCGCCCATTGCATCGGCACTCAACCTGGCTACGTTTCATTCCTACTTGGCCGAGGATGTGGGCATGGAGACATTTGTGCGCGAGGCTGCGCTACCGGGGCAAATCTATTATTACCCCCGCTTCTTCCAGAACGCCTTCACAGACTGCCTCAAGTCAGCGTCTCAAGCTCGCTTCGCATTGAGCTTTGCCCAAATCTGTGACGGTTTTATCGACAACGGCACCGGTTTTATGCCCGACGGCCAGCGGGAATTAAGCAACAAGGCCTTTGAGATGGCATATGGTTGCTTGGACAAGATGGCGGCGTGTGCTGCTCAAACACTTGGCCAAATCGCTGATGTGCATATCCGCATGGCCGAGAAGGTAAGCCCTCGGTACAGATCCCAGGCCTTGGGGACCTCTGCAGCACTCTCATACTCGTTCTTGCACGCACACTAGTTGGCACCACAGCATGCCGTGGATTTTATGGCCAAAAGCAAGAAGCCAACTGTCGAGACACTGCCCGGGTCTGAGTCCCTGCAGGACACTCTCAAAGAGGAAACCGTTGAGTGCGTGCTGCACAAATATACTACACGCTTTTTCGATGTTGAGGGAATCTCGTGCAACTTTGCCTTTTCCTGTCTAGCATCAACGCCTCGTGCCCTTTTGCTCATTCTTGTTTTGTGACTTGTTTTGTGACACCCATAGACTCTCGGCGCGCCAACAGCTCCTTTCCGATGTCTGCTGGGCGCTCAATCATTTGAATACGATTCCTGTGGCCCATGTGTCGTTGACGCCCCGCGGTATGTCCTTGGCGGCATGCACCTTGAGACAAAAGCAACTAGTATTTGATGCGTTGCACGGATACGCTGCGCCACCTCACTCGGATACACTGCGTAGCCTTTTTGGTGGATGCTATCCACAAGTGGGTGGGTGAAGGTCTACCACGTGTGGTGACAACGTCGTCAGGCGTCCCCATGCGCCCCAGCCTTGCGCTCGTGCGTGTCAAGGTGTGTGTTACGATCATGTTCCGTGGTGCACGTTCATCTCTGTTTTCCTGCGCCCCTACCGCTGGGTTGCACTTTGAATGATGCTTGAGAACAATTTGTTTCTTTGCATGCCTTGTGTAGACGTTCATTTCGGCCATTCGTGGCGTGGAGAACTTTGTATCCATGGATGTGTCCAGCCTCTTCTCGCGTCTGCTGCTGGAGCAGGTTAGTTTCCTGTCGCGCAGACGATTTTCCAAATTTGCCGCGCGCCGTGACGTGATTCGTTGTCCAGGGAGGGGAGTCTTGCCTCAATGCTCATGAGTCCGTGTGACGGCCTTTGCTACAGTCAATCTTGGACGAGCACCGCACAACTTTGGCGGGGGTCTATGTCAAGTTTTACTGCGATATGATCTTCAGTCATGGCAACAACGGGCGCATTGTCAACAGCGCCAGCCGGCACATGCTCATCTCCATGTCTGGCTCCAGTGGTTTCAAGGCCGAAGACTACACGGATGCACGCGGTATGCCTGGACTTGCAATAGAATGCCGTTGCTCAGTCTTTTGACCCACCATCCTTGCTTGATGTCTGATTCTCGTTGTCGGGATGTTTTGCCGGCACCTGCCTTTACTTGCTGCAGAGCTTCAAGCGCTGTGCCGCTTGGTTGGACCCTTTGGCATCAAGCAGCTGAATGACCGCATGTTGGGGCGAGCTGCCAACGCCATTGGTGACCTCAAGGTGATTGTGGGGAAAAACGGCAAGCTTGTTGAGCTGGTTCAGCATTGTGAACGTGCCACAGCAAGTGAAGATGTCCTTCGCAGCTTGCAAGGTGTGATGCTCGCGCCCTCCTGCTGAACCAGCAAAGGGTTCATTGCCTTTCCGCCCGCCTTTTTCAATCTTTGGTTTCTGGAGTTGAGAGCCTCTTGCTCGCCGTTTCTGGGCCAAGCTCTGATCACTTCCTCCACCTGGATTGATTGGGCTAATGTGTTCTTGTGGGGTTGGTGCCCTCGACAGATTTGGAAGCCTTTACGTCCACCCTGTGCTTTTTGGGCCTGGTACTGGACTTTCGCAAGTATATGCTTGCCGCGCTCGAAGTTGTGCTCAAGGACCGCATTCCCTTCGTGTACAGCGCCATTGCAGAGCTCAACATGCAGATTCGCGCTTCCGTACGTAGCATCGGGACTTGGCCGTAGCGGGCCGGCATGTATGGGTTGCAATTATCAGGGGGGGCGATTGGCGCAGTTGAATCATGTGACTGTGTGACACGGCATGCATTTCTGTAGTCTGTACAGCTGCTCGCCTTGACCGCAGGCATTGATATGCAAGTGGATCCACAACTCGAGCTCGTGCTCCATTCCAGTCGCTGTGCGTAGTTTTTTTTGCCATGCAGTTTACCTTTCCCTGTCCAAGATGGGCGCGAGCGCGTGTTGTTTTCAAGTGTCGTCTAACGGTCGGGTGCCTTGCCTTCTTCCAGCGGGTGGCTCGGACCAAGAATATCAGTTTTGGATCACGTTTATGGCCATGTGCGCTGCGTCTGTGCGCCACATTGGATCAGCAAGCTCCGGCTTTGCATTCAAGGCCAACGTGGATGCCTTTGAGAACAATGCCATGGGTGCGGCCACAGCCATCTCAGCGCTATCGGCTGCCGCTTTCAAGACAGTTGCCCAACAAGGCATGGAGCGCCAGACGATCCAGATCGGACAACTCATGCTTTTGCGCGTACGTCAAAACTGAGAGCTGGGGTTTTCCCATCTTCCCCGTCTTTCTACGGATCTTTCTTTCCCCATGCAGCTTGTGCAGATGCCGTCGCACTGCGCCGTGGTAGACGTGTCTCACTGGCCTGATGTGAAATCGTTGCACAGATTGCCTCGACGCTGCTGTTGCGCCAGATGGCTGGTGGCGACACGCGCAAGAACCACCGCGTGGGCCTAGCAATCTTAAACACGGTGCGTTCAATGTCATGTCAACGCGTAGGCTACATTTGAGCCTTGCTCCAGGGTGATTATTCTGAGCCGAATTCTGACGGCCGTGGCCTTGTAGATCGTTGAATCAAGTCCTTTTGTGACGGCTGATCAGCTGGAAAAGTACTTGCCATACACGCTTGTGCGCGCAGCCAATAACACTCTCTTTACGGTATGTCGTCGCCTGCGCATGGGTCTGCCTGCTGACATGCTCTCGTCGCTCAACCTCATTCGAGCGCTCCATGATACCTACAATTCGCAGCGTGGAGCCTCGGTGACCATGTTTGAGACTGAGTAATGACAATTGTGTTTGCATGTCAATTCTCATTCCTTTTTCAGTCACTCCAAAGCGGGTGGCACGTGGCGTCCTCGATCCCTCTGCATGCTTGTTGGAGCGGTGGTTGCCTTTGTGTCGCTGTGCTGTGAGTATTTTGTGTGTGCGTGTGTGTGTGCCCAGAATTCACGCCTGTGCTCTGGCCCTACTGATGTTTGTACACCCTCGTTCAACGAAGCAAAGGGGGAAGGGGAATGCAACGGCAGAGCGGCTCTGCAACAACAATAACACAGATCACTTTGTTGAACCACCGATTTTAAAACGTCAGACAAAACAAACAAACAAACAACAAGGATCTCTGCGCCTCTTTTCTCATTCAAGCGACCCATTGGCAAGCTCGCTTGGCGAATGCTCGGCTCGCCACCGGGGGTTGCCTGTGAGTGCGCTATTCCAAGCTAGCGAAGTGAGGCGGGCAGGGCCTGATCATGGTGTTGAGCAGCGGCTCCGAGGCGGAGCAGCTTTTGGCTCACCGCGATGGCGCGGTCCGCCAGAGGTTGCTGCTGCGCTTGCGAAGCGACGACCCTGACTCAGACAAACAGGCGTCGCTCGTGGGGGTCAATGATGCTGCCAGCCGCGTGGCACAACGGCAACAGCAGCGTCGGGCCAAGCAAGCACCGGAGCCTTCTGGATCACGAGGGAAGTTGAGTACGCAGACGGGCCCTGACGGCGCTGATCTGGATGCAGTGCAGAGGCTTATCGCTCCAGCACTGAACATGCTTGTGCAGAACAAGTTTCTGCCTTATCAATCAGCACCCGCCTTGCTTCAATTCCTTATCGAGGCGAATGCTCCAAGTCACGTTTGCGCAGCCTTTCAAGCTCATGATGCGGTGCGTGTCTCGTTGCTTTCTCCCACTGACCCCTCCTCCTGCCCTGTTCCCTCTTGGCCTCTCATTCGTCTTCGCGTATCCTTTTTCGGGGTGCAATTCAATAACACTGCACCTCTCAGGGCACAAAACGTCTATTACATCTCCTTGGAGGCTCGCCAGGGCCCACTCAGACGTGTGCACATAGTTTGGTGCGCGCTGTCAATCTGACCAGCACGCTCCTTGCCTGGTGTGCTCGGCACGCCGCAGAGCTCGAGTCCACCGGTCAAGTCGACCTTGCAGCGTTCAAAGGTGTTGGCAGTCTGACACCGAGCTCCATCGATGATGTCGTGGCCCTAGTTCAGAGTGCCGCCGTTCTGGCACCGCTGGCGGATCGCCACTCAGATGCTCCAAATGCTCTTGGCGCCATCATGAATGCTCTTCACCGCTGGCCATCCGACAAACCGCGGCGCCTCCCCATCAGTTTACTGGCGCCAATTGTAGGCTTGTTGGAGGGCAAACCTTCCACAGCGTCAGGCGCTAGTCCTGACTGGTTTCTGCGTTTCCTCCACTTTGTGGCTGTGCACGTGGCGGCCGACTTGGACCGCCAGCAGTGCGATCAGGAAACGCGAGTTCGAGCTTCGGCTGGCGAGCTGGAGCTAGCGCCAGAGCAGGCGCAGCTTGTACAACTTCAAGGCTCATTCTTCTCGGCCTTGCAGGATCTTTTCTTTGGAGCAACTTGTGCTCGGGCACGTGCAACAACAGCGCGCATTTTGCAAGCCATGCCAAGTGGCACGTTACCCAAAATCTTGGTCCAACAGCTTGGTTTTCATCTGCAAAGCCCGTCCAACTCCCGGGAGCATCGTCAGGCCTTTATACAAGCCTCTGCGCTGTACTTGCGTCCCAGCGCCGCCGCAGAAGCACTGCTCGTCCTGATGGAAAAAGCCATTCACGAGGCGTCTTCTGCAGAGTTTGATGAGCATTGGCTGGCGTGGGTGCTTGCGTTGGGAGACCTTGTGGCTTCAACGGAGCATGTCACAGACACTGTCTATGATGTGCTGAGCGATGCGGTATTGCATGAGCTGGTGCTAACGGTTGAGCGCCACGATAGCCATGCCACTTTGGATGCCTATTTAGCTGCTCAGCCGGCGGATGCCATTGCAACTCCCCTTTATCAATTGCTCAGCAAAGCACGCCTTGTCTCAGCCGGCAAGGTCCAAGCTGCTTCCCAAGTCCTTGAGGAGAGCAATGACGTACGTTTGAGTTCCTGCGCAGACTGCTAATCAACGTGACTTACCCGCCTCCTGGTCCATCACATCTGGGCGGCTTCCCCTTGTTCCCGGCCCAGTGGCCGCTCGTGAAGTTTCAGACTCACCAACCTTGAATTGCGTCCGTGCAGTCTTCTTGTGCGCCGGCAGCAGCAGAGTACCTGATGTCCGTGTTTCTGCACAACAGCGCCCACCATCGTCAGCCTGCTCGCACAGCTCTGAGCAGTGAGTTCACTCTCACGGTGTTTTCCTTGGTCGAGTGACCCACTTTCGTTTCGCCTTCAACAGCGTGGCGGTAGCGGCGGCAGTGCATGTGTCTTGGGGTAATTCATTTCACCGTGAGCTAACCTAGCTCCATGTTGGTTGGTGCTGTATTAACAGATTTGTTGGCACGGACGGAACATGTCCATTGGGCTGCCTGCCTGAGTGCAAGCGCTCTTGTTTTGTTTCGCGCCGTTGCAATACCAGATGATGTACGGGCGGAAGGGCTGGGGATCTTTGCTGATTTGGCTCATGCCCCGTATTCTCTCTTTTGCACCACCGTACTGCGCAAGTATGTCGAAATGGATTGCTTGTCAGGCCTTGACCCTCTTGACGCGCATGTGCTTGCTGTCTGTGTCTGAGATCGGGTCCATGACAAATAATATACTGTTGTTACGACTCTTAGCCTGGTTACGAGGCACGGCTATGATGCGCAGGGTCATCCGCGAGCCACAGTGTTGCAGCGCTTTGCTACTGCCTTGGAGGATCAGCTGGTTGCCCGCATTTTGCGGGCCACCGATGCTGAAGCTCGCTGTAATGGCTTGCTCTTACTGCAGCCATTTGCGCCTGAGCTGTCACAGTATGGTAGCAATCTCAAGGTGAGTACGCACGTGTTTGCTCAACCACGCTCTCTTGTCAGCATTGAGTGGATGACACTCACGCTCGAGTTGGCCACGTGGGTCAGTAGCTTACACGGGTGCTGTTACTATCAGGCGGTTTTAGGCGTGTTTGTAGAGGACGAGGCGTCGAACGTGGCTGCCGCTGCCATGGATTGTCTGCGCCTTTTGGGTATTTGGCATCCGTCAATCCTGGCTCGTGTCCTCGCGTTTGCTTACAGCAGCAACGCGACCTTGCGCGAGGCGGCCCGAAAATATGTCCTCTCGTTCCAAAGTGTGCACATTGCTACGGCTGGTGCTGAGGCCGACGTGCGGCCTGCTATCGTGACCTTGGCCCTTGAAGAACTGGCGGGGGTGGCGGTCGAAGGTCAATTGCGCCTTGCAGCTCCGCGCCCAGCTGACGCCTGCGAGGTCACGACGTTGGCGCTGGAGGTGCTTGATGCTGTCACGGGCTGGCAGGTTGAACGAGGCTGCATGCACGATGCCTTTCAAGTCATGGGTGCTGTAGAAGCCTTTGTGGGCAAGCGGGCCAAGTTCGCGCCCGTGGCGGCCCAGACGCGGGCGTGGACAATGCTGACGAACAACCGACAGTTGACGCCTGACTTTTTGCAATGGATCATGGGTCATGTGCGAAGTAGCCGGGCAGCGCTCGAGGGCGCGCAGACGGACGGCTTGTTAGCTGGTCTCGGCAGTGGTCAGATCGACCGAGACGCGCTGGTGCAAGCGGTGTGTGGCCTCGAGCTCTTGGGTCCCCAAGACTTTGAAGTCGTTGTGGCGTTTGCGGCCGCCAATCCCGCTGCTGCGCCTTACTTTGCTGGTCCAGTTTGCCGTTACCTGGCTCAGGCGCCACAGCATCAGCGTGGCAGTGCCGGCGAGCGGTTGCAGGGCTCCAAAACGGGTGGTGCGTTGCCCTTGTTGACAAAGGTGATGCTCACACCAGAAACGGATGTAGAAGCACAGCGAGCATTGCAGGGCGTTCTGGCTGCACCCGGTCGTGAACAGGCGATGGTACAGCAGGAGCTGGCCTCAAAGGCCGATCCTCTCGGTGCAACGAAAGACGACTCCGGGGAAATGGATCCGTCGGCATTCACAGTGGCACCGGAATTTGAGCAGATGGCCATGCCTCAGTTGCCTCAAACCGGCAAGGCATCGCGTGACGCCTTTTTGTCTTTGGAGCGACAAGTCGATCGCCTAACCCAGACCTGTACGTTCTGTTGCTTGAAGGCTCGCTTCCGATGGTGCTGTCTGTTATGCAAAGTTGTCGTGGCTGTCCTCACTGCGCGTGCAAATCCTGCCCGCGGCCGGCCGTAGTGGCGGAGTGCCAAGAACAACTGAGGCTGGCACGCGAGCAGGCAGAGGGCTTGGATGGCGAGCTGGTCACGGCCCAAGAGCAGAATCTATTCTTACAGGAGCGCTGCAACCTACTGGAGCAAAAGGGCGCACAGCAGCGCATGGCTTTTGAAGCAAAGCTACGGCGTACATGCGACCAATTGGGGGTCGGTGTGGAGGATGGCAATGGACGCAGCGTTGAAGCGTGGTCGGCCCCGGGCCATGATGATGCGAGTACGGCGCAACTGGAGCAAAAGCTGCAGCAGCATGCAGAACAACTACGGCAACAGCGCGAGCAGGAGCTGGTCGCTCTCTTTGGGCAAATGGACCCGGCTCGACTGCGCCAGACCGAGAACTGGTCGGTATCGGGCTATGGAGTCGAGGCTGTGGATGGTGAGGACATGACCGTGGACCTTGCTGACTTGCCAGTAGCAGAACGAGTCAAACTGCTAGAGATGCGAGTCAAGCGCGAGGAGGAATCGTTGCAACGGGCTCGAGCTTTAACTGTTCAGATGAAGCAACAGCGCCAACAGCGACGCGTGCCATCTCAGGCGGAGGGTAAAGACGCCGCAGCAGGAAGAGATGGGGGCTCTCGGATCGCTGTGCGAGCACGCCTGACCGATGTGGCCAGCCTACGGGCTTTGATGGCGCCTGTGACCCAGGCAGTGACCATGTTGCGGAGCCTGGCTAATGAGGTGGATGCCTCGGAGCCACATGAGGGTGTGCAGCGCGTCTTTCAATACTTGCTGGCGCACTCGTTGCGGGGGGCGACCGGCTTTGTGGAACAACTGGCAGCAGCAGGCACGGGCGGTGCCTCTGATGCGACGATGGGCGGAGGGGACTTCCGACTTCCGACTTTGGACGAGGCGACGGGGCAAAGTTTGGGTCGTTGCGCGCAGCTACTGTCAATGGCGGGAGACTACGGGCTCCAGAGCTGGGGACGCCGTGAACTCTCGGCGGATACGCGGGGCACACTTGAGTCCCTGGGGTTATCGGCGTTGCCTACGGCGGGTATGTTGGCTCAGCGTGGAGGCGAGGTGTTTGAGGCCATTTTGCATCGGGCGCAGGCGTTGCAGCAGCTGTATCCTACGTCGCGTGTGAGTGCCGATCTTGAGACTGTGCGGGTGGCTATGGCACGGGCAGCCGAGCTGGATCCAGTGCTTGCTCCACGGCTGCGACGAACTGCCGAGCTGGTCTTTGATCGGCTGGCGCACCTGTGGCCATCGGCAGCCTTTATGCCCGGCTTACATTTGAGGAGTTTTCGTTGCAGTATGCTGGTGCCCAAGTCCAAGGGTGTGGGTGCAACACCGGCGCCCGGTGACGACAGCGATTCGTCGGCCTCAGAACCAGAGCACGAGGTCGGGGCGAAGGACACGTCGTTGCCCGCGCGACCTGGGGCTGGGACCGGCGGAGGTCCGTCGGCTCCTCGGAAGGGGCGGGCAGCATTGCGTCGCCAATTACCGGTGTTTGATGTTCAGGCCAAGACGGCGGTGGCTACGGTCGCGTTGCCAGCCAAGGTTTACTGTTTTGAACGCTGTTTAGTCCTGGTTAGGCGACATGGGGCTGGCCGGAAGTTGGAAGCCTGTTTGGAATGGCCAGTTCTCACCCTAGAACAGTTGCACGGCAATCTGCCCTTTGCTTTGCTCAAAGCGCCGGCGCCAGGAGCCGGGGTTATTACGATTCGCTTCAAGCAGACTCTGGACGTGACACAGCTCCTCGATTTGGCTGTGAGTCGGCGCCAGGCCGCTCTTGCAGCCTGTGATTAGTTGTGCCCCAGATCTAGGCTCTGACCCCTATACTTCTCTCTGTACTGTACTCTAATTGATGTGCTTGTTGGTGATGGGGTCACAACTCTCTTTTATGGAGCTATTGCCATAGTATGGCTTGTTGAGATTTTTTGGTCGTTATGTCTCGATGTGATCCAGCAGGCTGCCCTGGTGAATGCTGGGTGTTTTGAGTCACATCTGAATTGAAAGTGGGCGCCTATCAACTCGCTTATGTCGGACACATAAAGTTCTTGTTATCTTCCGTGTCCAAGTGTTGCATCGCGCGTGTGTCTCTCGTCCTCTGATTGTCCCTGATCGTCTGCCCGCGCCTGTCTGCCGCCCTTTTTGTCTCGCGCGCAGTGAGCTTATAAACGGTTTTTTCTTGTCTCATGTTTTATGTCATCCATGCAAAACGATGCTGCGGGACTTTTTATTCGTTTTGTGGGAGAAGCAAACAAAAGGCAACTTCAAGTCCAATCTCCACACGTGTTGGAGCCAAACAGAGGAGCTGAATTCGGTGCGTTTGTCCCTTGCGACAAAGGCAAGATGTCGCATGACGAATGTTCTCATGTCCAACGTTCATGTGGGTGGGTTGCAATCTGAAGTATACTTTTTAAAACGGTCGCTCTACTTTTCGTTTTAATTTAGGGTGTTATTGTAGATGTAATATCGAACAATAAGGAAGGTAATGTGCAAGCAACTTACAAAATTGCTGCTTTCTGTCAAGAAGTTGCAGCCTTGAACAGTTGTTCATGAATCGCCTTTTGACTTTGCTGTGCGGTGCGTCTACTGGCTGGGTCGGATTGACTCACATGTCAAGTTGATGATGCATGGCCGATCGGCAGATCCTCTCAAAAAAGACCGTGAAGAGAGTATGGCAGCCAGCTTCAGGAGCGCATTGACTCTCACATGACCATTGGTTGATGAGTGAGCTGTGCCGGCGACCAAGCAAGGAGACCAAGCAAGGCCTACAATCGATCAGTTCTCGGGCCAAAGACCCACAACGTTTCTTTATCATGTGACTGGCATGAGAAATCACCTCAATTGTTCCTCGTGCCTTATATTCCTCAACACAAGACGCGAGGAAGCAGGCAAAGGGAACTTTGTGGTCACGAGCACGGGCAGTTAAAAGGAATCAGTTAAACAGTACCAGGTGAGAAGGGAAGGGCAAACGGAGCGCGTCGAAGAAGCAGAGAATGGTGGCTGAATCAAAAACAGACGAACAAAAAGGCGAACAGGCCGGTGGTGTTCTCGACACGCCGGATGATGACCCAGTTTGGGCCAAGACAAAT